CCTCACAAATGCATTAGAGATTAGTTCATGGAAAAGGATATTGATGTACATGTAACTAATATATACCAGGTTTGTACTTATATAACTTATATAAGGGGGAACTCTAAGGCATATTGTGATTTGGCAACGTAGATTGTGATTATATGGATGCAAATTGAGTTTTGCTGGTGACACAAAGCATGTATTATGTGTAACTTCAGCCAAAACATCTGTATCATGGAATGGCAAGGTTACATCAGGCGAAATAACTTTAACATGTGTTACAACTACTTAAATCTGAAGTGTACTGGTCTGTATAGATCCACCATCCAGATACCAAGCTCATATAGCTGCTGTAAAGTAATTTCCAAAAAGTAAATTTCATCAGAAGTTTGCTTACCAAAAACCTGTAATGTATAGTTATGTTCTGATGTACAAAGATATATTTTTTTCTTGCTAAATATAGATCAGAGATTTCTTTAATCAGATTAGCTATAAAAAAAAATTAACTTACTCCCATGGGGAATGGAGCCAAATTTTGGCCATAAAGAGTGCCAATAAAAGTCTGCAGAATTTAAATGACTTGTAGTATGCTGTGGTACATGTATATTAAACTGTGGCCTCCTTCAGGCTATAATATAAGTGAATTCTAACTTTTAGATTTTCATAAATCAAATGAAATATGATATCCCTTTATTAAATCAGATAACATTGTCTTGTCTTTATCTATATGCATCCTAACAAGACCACTACATAATGTGCAATGTTAAGCAAAATCAAATATAAGTACAGACATGTACACTATGCATTTATAAACACTACACAGAAATTTTAAAGCCTTAACCAACAAAAGTCAAACAAAAACACAAAAAATGTGATAGAGATGTACTACAATTATTTTGAGCTACACAACAGTCTCTTCTACTAAGTGTCATCTCTGAGCCACACAAGTGCCGACTTGATATGACAAAAGCCAAGCTCTCGACTTGAACAAATATTGGGCCATTACTGGCTTACTAAAGTAATCCATGGGATTACCTCCAACACCTAAGGCAACCCAATTTCAATACAATTCAGGGGTCGGAGGTTATCTCACTTATTAAAGAAACGAAAATATTTTTTGAAAGCCAAGGAATAAGTCAACACGTTACCCCATTTTTCAAGTTTCAAAGTTTCTTCAATTTGTCATTATTTAGTTACATGTGTCAAAGTGTGTTCTATGTTATTGTCAATTGATGTTGAAACGAAAAAATTATTAAAGGCCATTGTTTGTTAAACAGCCAGGCAAACCAGTTACCGTATTTTCCAGTTTGTCTACAGTGTTAAAGGTTATCTTTGCTTTATTTTAAAATCACAATATTTTTGTAAGTCATTTTCATCAAATCAGGTTGGTAAATATGTTAACGCATTAGTCAGATGAATGGCAATTCATTCTCAAAATCGACACAGTACAGATCCTTTATTGGTTGTCCAAATACAAGTACATGGGTTGTATTGATTCTATTTACCATTCCCTAATTAAGAAATCTTTCATTTGACTGGTCCAATATACACAAGGATTAATTCTCCACAAGCTGGCGCATTCATTACTATAATGGTAACTTTTTAGAACTTCAAATTCACTTTGTAAAAAACTTTAATGAACATGCTAATAATCATAAACCTCATTTTCTCTGAACAAACATGAATTTATTTTCAAGCTGTATGTCTATTTTCAAGGTTAAAATGTTTGTGTTTTCCCCCTATAAGTTAAATGTTTTAATACCTAATCATTCAAAAGGACCCCCTGTTAAATGAACTTTCCCCTTTTCCATCTTTTCTCTTTGTATCTTTTTTCAGGTATATTCATTTCTAACTCCAATAAATCCTTATATCCTATTTTGATGCTATGTATGTATCTGTTTAAAATTCATTACTGAATATATGAAAGTGTTTGATTGGTTAGTTGTAAATGAAATTTCATCAAAATTCTATGATATAACTATTTTTAGACGTTGAGGTCTTTTTATTAGAGTAACTAATATGTACAACCCCAGTATTACTTTAATAGATATAGATATATAATGATTAGATCAAAACAACATACATTGACGAAATAGCCGTATGATTAAGAAATTAAAAATGTTTGCATAAAGTTGTAAGCCCTCTGTAAGAGTTTTCTAATTAATCATATCTTTTGGTTGAAATATGAACCTATATTTACTGTGATTCTGAAATCACTTACTAAAATTTTCAATCTACTCTTTACACTAAAAGATATGTAAACTATAAAATATACAAGTTGTACAGGACATTTAGCCATGTGCGCCATTACTAAATCTTATAACATTACCATTTGAATAAACTTTATCAAGGCGATCACGTTGAATTGACAGCTCTATACGGGGTATTTAAGTAACTTAAATAGGTTAAACTATGGATGAGCACACTCTGATACCTCCTATAGACAGCTCTACCACAGAAAACGTCCACTAGAACTAACCCAGCCATCCAAACAACCAACTCCAAACAACAGCACCTCCTATAAACACGTACTAACACCGGTATAGGAACGCCAGACCCCCAGTGTAAACTTGTACACGCCTGATTTAGAGACATGTATAGAAATTTGAATTTAATGTGTAGAAGGATAATCATTATACATGATTAATGTATGTTTATGAAAAGGTGAAATGATTAGCAATTTTCACATTACAATCTGGGAAAGACATTTACACTGTATGTATAGCAATCTGGGAAAGATACATTTACACTGTATGTATAGCAATCTGAGAAAGACACATTTACACTATATATATAGCAATCTGAGAAAGACACATTTACACTGTATGTATAGCAATCTGGGAAAGATACATTTACACTGTATGTATAGCAATCTGGGAAAGACACATTTACACTGTATGTCCTATAGCAATCTGAGAAAGACACATTTACCCTGCATATATAGCCATCTGAGAATGACACATTTACACTGTATGGATAGCAATCTGGGAAAGACACATTTACACTGTATTTCCTATAGCAATCTGGGAAAGACACATTTACACTTTATGTCCTATAGCAATCTGAGAAAGACACATTTACACTCCATATATAGCCATCTGAGAATGACACATTTACACTGTATGGAGAGCAATCTGGGAAAGACACATTTACACTGTATGTAAAGCAATCTGGGAAAGACACATTTACACTGTATGTCCTATAGCAATCTGAGAAAGACACATTTACACTGCATATATAGCCATCTGAGAATGACACATTTACACTGTATGGATAGCAATCTGGGAAAGACACATTTACACTGTATGTCCTATAGCAATCTGGGAAAGATACATTTACACTGTATGTCATATAGCAATCTGGGAAATACACATTTACACTGTATATCCTATAGCAATCTGAGGAAGACACATTTACACTCCATATATAGCCATCTGAGAATGACACATTTACACTGCATATATAGCCATCTGAGAATGACACATTTACACTGTCTGGATAGCAATCTGGGATAGACACATTTACACTTTAGTGATAGCAATCTGGGAATGACACATTTACACTGCATGTCCTATAGCAATCGGGGAAAGACACATTTATACGTTATGTCCTATAGCAACTTGGGAAAGACACATTTCCACTGTATGTATAGCAATCTGAGAAAGACACATTTACACTGTATGTCCTATAGCAATATGTATCACCAGAACCAGTTTACGTTACAGATGAAGGTCTTCCTTTCATTCTGTTTTTATTTCCCCAAAAAAATGAAACTACTCATCAAAGATTTATTTTTCTGTTTTCAAAAGGAATCAGTATGTGTCTTTTCAATAGGAAAATATGTGTTATTTCATAGATTAGGAAATATATATCTCATCAATTAAAACTAACCCACACTTGCCAACCTTTTGAATTTCCATGGGGCAGATTTAGCATGCTCAAAGTAAAACATAGATAAAGTGTGTGTATATACCTCCGTAGACAAAAATTGACCCTTTAAAATGACATATTTTGAGTTGTTCTCTCTGATGAAATCATTACATCTGAGTTTCCCGCCTAAATAGGGAGAGTTGGCCATGGCACTAGGATGCTTAACAAAGTTTGCAATAAGGAATTATTTTTGGGGAAATATGCATGCTATGCTAGCTGTTACTAAGCAATATGTCTACTGTATCCTAAAAAGACACTGTACAATGCTGCCTTAAGAATTCCAGTTTAAGTTGAACCATGGTTACCGTCGCTTCTAAGCTAAAAGCAACACCATCAAACCTGCATTAAAAGACCACACAGGTTCAATTCACAGTGACATCACTAACACGAAGAACATTTACATTGGCCTCTTAGTACAGGGCCAATACTCATGAAACCGTTCTCATGCTCAAGCACAGAGTTGTGCTCAAATCAAATTTCTTGTAACTCACTTAAATCATGTCAAACGATCAAAATGTAAAATGAAAACATTGAAAACAGTATTTCGCTCCAAGTCTCTTCATCCCCCCCCCCCCCCCCCCAAAAAAAAACATTGACAAAATAAAAATTTATCTTTAATTTATAAACTTAACAAGAAATTAGGCTTAAGCACAACATCCATGCTTGAGCATGAGAACGGTTTCATGAATACGGGCCCCAACTAGTGTGTAACATAGGAATGCTGACTAGATCTATATATCATTAGAAAGTTCAAACTAAACTTGCATTTCTACACATCACAACCTTCATCAAGACTTGTTATTGGCTTATAACTAAAGGGAGTAATGATATCTTGATAGCGATACATAAATAGAGACCAAAGTATTAGTTTCATAAAAGATAGGATAAACAATACACAGTATTGTCATGTTGCACTCAATATTATACCCTAAACAATGTTCAGATCAAAACAACAGACCGAGAAGCTGAAAGCATACATTACTAAGCAGGACAGCTGCAGATTTTTTTTTTTTTAAATTCAAAATATCTATTTGAATACCATTGGGGTTGTTCAAAGGTGAAAGAAAGTTTTATGGGAGATATCTTACCTCATTTCGTTCCGATTCCACTATACTCTCCATCTCCCTCACTCGACCTAGCAGAGTGTTGTGGGACTCTTCAAGGCTGCAGCGTATACTCTTCTCTCTCTCTAAGTCCTCTTTGATGTCGGACATTTTTCTTTGCATCTTCTGCTTCCCTGTCAACATCTCTTCTGCAGACACTGCAGCCTCTGCCTACAGACAGAAGGAAATACAGCACTGACCATCAACATGGGACAATCAAAGCACAGTATATTAAAATTCTAAATATTCCTCAAATATAACAAATCTTTTACTTTGTCAAGAAACCTCGACATGGAATAAGTGTTGTAAATGAAAAGGGCTTTTCAGACTTATTCAAATATTGATCTGAATTTGCTGATATCTTAGTTATAATAGTACAGCACTTCATAGGGTTACTTTTATTTAAGAAATTTATTGTTGTACTCTTAAGTTCTTAATGGGTGTCCCTCCTCCAATTTAAAAGAATGTTAACCCCCTCCCAAATATCTGAGTAACCACACATTAATTATATAAGCTACCATATTTATCCTGCATTGAGCCCAGGGAGCCAAGAGATATAATCTATGACTCAAAGTAGAGGGATGGGCTAGCAGGAAAATGAAATGACATTTAAATGCTGACATTTCTTATCAACTTCAAAAGATTTTGATTGGCTTATCACCAGAAATAGGCTTTTTGCTGGATACACATGTACGGTATACACTGTACAAGTACCATAATTCTCAATCTGGCTTCCCTCTAGCTATCTGCCAGCAAACCTGTCCTAACTATAACCCATTTGGGGTACATGTACATATATATTCAACCTCAAAGGGAATTACTGTTAGGTGTTTTGACCAATTACATGTTATAACTAGAAATTGTTGGCTAACAATTTGACGGGCTTTTCACTGTAAGGACTGATTTGGCCTTCTAATAATAACCTGTGCAAGTCTACAGTAGCTGACTGAGTAGTGTGGGATTCCCAGGGTGCGAAATGACGTCAGAGAAATAATGGATAAATATAGGCAGCCAATGGGCTTAGTTGTTAACGAAGGTAGTCCGTAAAAGTCGTCATATAGTCCATCCACTATGTACATCAGGATGATGAATTGAACCTAGCTTTTTGTCTATATCGGTTGGGTTTGCCATGCCAAAGAAAGGCTGATGTTTACTCATTGCAGTAGAGATGTAAACTGTCCACACTTTTAAGATTGAGAGTGCGTAGTAATCGATGTAGTATTACCAGCATGTATTAGATGTCTTGATATAAATCTAAGTACTGAGAGTACTGAAAGCACTTCACAATCGCACAAAAATGAAAACGGTTTTTGACTTTCACCTTTGAAATTATATTTAGAGTAGGTCAAGGTCGTTCATTTGCACACACTTTAAAGCCCTTCATTCAAGCATGCTTCTTTGCCACACATCGTTACCCTGGAATTATTGGTTATTCAGAAAAAGGGGTTTCAATATTTTTACATATATGACCTCTGTGACCATGAGTCATTCAAGGTCAATCATATTTTCAAACTTGATAGCCAATTACCTCGCCGTGTTATGTATCAAATAGTAGGATTCTAGACCCTGTAAAGAAGATTTCAGAAGTCATTATCTTGAAATAGCACACATGAAGTTTGACCCCTGAATAACTCAAAACTCGACCTGGTAAACTCAAAATGTTTTCTGCCAAAAATGTGCACATTTGTGTTGTCCACATCTTACCTGAATGTAAAGTGAATCTATCGAACAATTTTTGAAATATTCTTGATTAAAAGTAATTTTAATGTTTTAAACATTTGACATTTGTGACCTTGATTGTGACCTTGATAGTTGATCAATGTCAACCATTTTTTCAAACCTGATACCCTGACATCTCAGAATCTTTAATGATAAATATCAAGACTCTAGACCTTGTGTAACTTTTTTAAGGTTGGTACCCAATATAGTGCATTTTAACTTTGACCCCTGCCGTAAACCGGAAGTTGACATTTGTTGACAACAGTATGAAAGAAAAAGTTTGCCCTTGGCTATCTCTATATGATATCCAAAGATCAACCTCGTGTTTGATATCGTTAACAAAATATATTGGTATAGGCCGTTAACCAATCAGAGTTTGTGGCGTCCATCTTGGAATATTAATTGCTCCAAAAAGTAACATAAGTTTGTAAGGGTCCCTAGAGGAATATATTTATTAATTGTGGTTAATATTGCAATGGCAGAATTGGAGAAGAAGATCGTTGAAGTTTTAACATATTGTCAGCATTTTAAAAGATCAAAGGAAATATTCAAAATGGTGTACAACGTTAACGGTAAATGTTACAGAAAAACTAAAGACATCAAATTCATCGGAATGACATTCTTCATCGATCTATTGAAGAATTCTTTAAAAAAAAAAGAAAAATGAATACTTTTTAATTTGACCAATTAAGTAATAACATACAATGAAAAAAAGTTAGCCCTGAAGATTATCTACAAATAACATCTGTGCATAAAGGCTGTAAATTCAACCGTTTTTGCGTTATAGCCATTTTAAGATTTTAAGGTATGACGTCATGGTGGCTTTTGTTTTTTTGATGAAGTTGAAAATGTTACCAAATGTTAGAAGACAACTGGGGAAACTTTTCCCGTTACAACTAGACGAAATATTTGTCATTGATATTGGAGTAAAACAAGTTTTAAAATATTGCGAAAATTTTAACAGATCAAAGGAAATATTTCAAAATGGCATACAACGTTAACGGAAAATGTTACAGAAAAACTAAAGACACCAAATTCATTGGAATATCATTCTACATTGATCTATAGAAGAATTTTTCAAAAATAATGAAAATTTAATGGTTTTAAAAAAATAGTGACCTTTGACCCAACAGCGAGCTTTTTTATTTGACCTTTTTTCAAAATTACGGACTGACCAAAAACTTAACCCTGAAGATTATCTGCCTATAATATAATTGCATCAATTCTGTAAATTAAACCGTTTTTGAGTTATGGCCATCTTAAGATTTTGAGGTATGACGTCATGGAGGCCATATTGGATTTTTGACCTTCTTGAAAATGTTCCTTGAACATCTTCAGACCTTGGCCTACAACATACTTAAAAGACTATAAACCTGTCTTTTACCAATCAAAAGATACAGACTCCACAAAAGTATGGAAGAGGAATAAGAATCATAACAAAAACAATAGGTCTTTTCACCAGTTGGTGAAAAGCCCTAATTATATTCAACACAATCAATCAAGAGAGTATAGGAGCAGCCTAACTCAAGAATAGTAATGGGAAAATAGTTTACAATCATCATCAACTATGATATGGGTTTTTAAACTGAAGTACTGGAAGTAAACTGATTTATGATCAATTGCATAATCAGTATATAAATAATTTTATTGGACTGAATAGTAGAAATAAATTGACAATATCATACTATTGTAACCTATTTATATCTATAGAGATGCTTGTTTGTTTGGTTTGTTTGTGTTTTACATCCTATTAACAGCTATGGTCATTTATGGATGTGCCAGGTTTTGGTGGTGGAGGAAACCAACAACCTACGTACCTGGTGACTGCCCCACGTAGACCTTGAACCCAAGACCCAGTGGTGGAGGGCTACTGGTAGCAGAATGTCGGACGCCTTAACCACTTGGACACCGAGGCCCCCAAGAAAATTTGAGCTACTTATAGTTATTATATTAGATAACGTTATTTATCAAGGTCATTTATATGAGAAAACATAAAGTATATATATATATATATCCCATTGCTATCTGAGGGATATATCAGCCAAACACTAGTTTCCCTTTACTTTAATCAAGTCTTAAAAGAAGTCACAATTTTTGAAAAAAAAAAGAGTAGATAAATGGACAACAAATATTGAGTAAAGAGTGTTTCAGTTTAAATAGTCTCAGATAAGACAGTCAAAATCTTCCTCTTGGGGGCCGACATTTTCTTGTCATTGTCATATATATGCAGTTATTATTTCATTAATCTTCTTAAGAGATCTATTCTATCCTTTCTAACTACCTGATTTACTTTTCTGTCCTTTGTCGTGTGGAGTTGATCAATAGGTCAAAAATCACAGGTGATAAAACCTTACCTTTCTTATGATTAATACTCTTAGAAAAAGTTACAGAAAGGGTGTGGAAGATACTGGAAGATGATTTATTTTCAATTGCCTGGTTATTCCTGAAGATATTGAACACAAAGTTCCTTCATTTTTTAGTATGACATATGAGCACTTACAGAATCTAATATCTTTAGATGTATTTTTTTAACAAGGCGACACATTTGATTTCTATGCTAATTTTGATAAAATTATTCATGTTTTTTAAAAAGATTGAAAAGAAATTGTGATATCAAATCTTTACCACTTGAGTTCACGTTTTCACAAGTCAAGCGGCCAGGTCAATCCATCAAACTCACTTCTAAATAATACTCAGGAATTGTTAATTTCTAAAACATGTTATAAGGCCAAATCAATCAGTGGGTAAAACAAGTAGGTAATATATAGTTTCCAGGTCACATATAAGTAAAAAAAATTGAAGATATCAATTTGAATCCAGGCATTCACTCAAACACTTCAACAGAGGAAGTTGAGGATACAAATCAAACAACATGATCAGCCGATTCAGCACTATGGATTTGAAGAAAAAGAAAATTCAGGAAGAAATCTATTGAAATGTACAAGGAATTATCTCCTTTCCAAAAAAATTGTGTTATATTTCCTCAAATATTGGAAAAAAGAACCAAGAATTTTGAAGGGGAATGCAGCTACATTTATGCTCTTAAGGACTTCCCATCCTTCGTATTACACATGTTTTTCTTTTCGTATTTTCCTGTCGTCATTTCGGTATTGCGTATCAGGCATTCCATTACCGTAGTATAAATTATAGTAACACTGGGTAAACAATAGTACAAGCGCGTGACGATGATATGTCAACACCCGATATCGAGACTTAACTTAGAAATGTGTAATCACACGTACTTCTAAAATATAGCTTATGATAGAAAGACATTAATTAACTCACGAGAAGACACTGACATAAGATCAGACAACTTCAAGAAGGTCGTATATGAGGCGCATGGAATGCAGACTGATGTGTTTTGTTTACCGACCTCACCTGTACGTATCACGTGCTAAATGTAACAGTAGTTCACAAGCTCTTGGTTGCTACGACTTTTGTTGTCGAGCGAGGTAGGCTCTGTCAGATAAATCGTTTCACAAATGCAATTACAATAACTCTGTGAAAATATAATATAGTGGTTTGTAAAATATCAAGACCCCTATAAAATGTAAGTGCATGCACGTGATAACAGCATACCATGCAATAGCCTCTGGTTACATATATATATGTACCTGACATGTAAATATACCATGCGTAAGCAGGCTATGGAATGATGTTCAAAGTGTACATGATTCAGAGTAATTTTGTTCCATAAAAGACAGTAAAATGACAATTAAATATAATAATTTAATTTATTTCCGTCGTTTTTGGTATAGTAAAGAAGTTGTATAAATTCTATCCCTCTGTAAAAAGTTCCGATTTGTTTCAAGGTAGACAACTCTCATCAGGATCGAAATTATTGTAAAATATAAAATAAATGAATTATAAAGATTTTGTATGTATTTGGTTCAATTTTTCACTCTTTTTGTATGAAACTATGTGTCCTGTTTGCTTTTAGCTTGTATTTAGTAACTTTTATCCATACAATTTCAATAAAAATTGCTTTTTGTAACATGTTGTAGATATTTTATGATAAATGAAATATTTGTAGGGTTGGTTAGCAATGTTTCTTTTCATTATTTTATTTTTGTAATAGTTTTGAACAATGCCACACACTCAAAAGATGTGAAAGTGTTGGATTTGACAAAAATTCAATTTTTCAGTATTTTTTACCAAAAAAATCCCCAGTTTATCGGAATGCTTAGATTTTCATAAAATTATATCTACATATTGACATAACCATCATGTGAAACTTTCATTGAATTCTGCTGGCTAATTGCAAAGGGTGGAGCCACCTTAAAGCACAGTATTCCAGTAATACATTTTAAACATTAACATTTGGTTTGATTTTTTTTTTATTTACATACCAAGGTAATGATTATTATGTATCATAATTACAAACTAGCTAATATCATCTTTAAAGCTGCATAGATATTCAAAACATTTGTTCAGAAAACAATATACGCTTGTCCATGATCCATCACCATATACATATATATATAGATTGAATTATATATGAAGTGTCACTATCCCGATATATATAAGATACACTATCATTGAACATGCACATGTATGCAATTTACACCCCCCAATAAAATAGTACACAATATGTATAACTGGGAAGACAGCCAAAAAAGTAGCTGACACACTGTGCATATATATGGTGGTGTTTTTTCTAAATTCTTCCAAAGATCAATCTGTTGGTCATACCTGGTACTTGTGTATGTACACGCTTCATACATATTTCATCATGAACATTTATAACAATTTTAAAGATAATTTAAACATATAATCAACGATGTTCTGATTAATTGATTTTGTTGACTAATATTGGCCAGGATCATTAAGTTAATCAACTGATTAATCGACTACAGAATTCATGTTTGATTTTAGTTGGAATAATTGTGTCAGTGTGTAGCTAGATGTATTATGGAGTTTTCAGTAGAGTGCTTCGTGGCTTTAAGCCTATCAAACAGCAGAAGTGTAGTGTTATATATTCTGACCGGCTACGTTGGCATCATCACTGACTAACTTTAACGTCTGCCCATGACCACTATGAGACTATACAGATTCATTCTTCCATGGTATTGTTTTTCAATTTTGAAAGCTGAGCGGAACACCATCATAGAGGATTTCAAGTAGTGATTCTTTAAAATAATTATTTAATTGATCTTTGGTAAGTTAATGGTAAGTACTAACCAATGGCAATGATCGATCATAAAATTTAAACTATTCTAAACACTCTAAACAATGAACAAAAATTTAAAAAAAAATATGAACATTACATGTACAAAGGAATAAATTAGTGTAGGCTGGGTAGTTATCTGGGTAGTGGTTTTACAGTGATCGAGAGCTGGATGATAGACAGTAATGTTTACAGTTATCTGACAGTGAGAGCTTTAGGATAGACAGTAATGGTTACAGTTATCTGACAGTGAGAGCTTTAGGATAGACAGTAATGGTTACAGTTATCTGACAGTGAGAGCTTTAGGATAGACAGTAATGGTTACAGTTATCTGACAGTGAGAGCTTTAGGATAGACAGTAATGGTTACAGTTATCTGACAGTGAGAGCTTTAGGATAGACAGTAATGGTTACAGTTATCTGACAGTGAGAGCTTTAGGATAGACAGTAATGGTTACAGTTATCTGACAGTGAGAGCTTTAGGATAGACAGTAATGGTTACAGTTATCTGACAGTGAGAGCTTTAGGATAGACAGTAATGGTTACAGTTATCTGACAGTGAGAGCTTTAGGATAGACAGTAATGGTTACAGTTATCTGACAGTGAGAGCTTTAGGATAGACAGTAATGGTTACAGTTATCTGACAGTGAGAGCTTTAGGATAGACAGTAATGGTTACAGTTATCTGACAGTGAGAGCTTTAGGATAGACAGTAATGGTTACAGTTATCTGACAGTGAGAGCTTTAGGATAGACAGTAATGGTTACAGTTATCTGACAGTGAGAGCTTTAGGATAGACAGTAATGGTTACAGTTATCTGACAGTGAGAGCTTTAGGATAGACAGTAATGGTTACAGTTATCTGACAGTGAGAGCTTTAGGATAGACAGTAATGGTTACAGTTATCTGACAGTGAGAGCTTTAGGATAGACAGTAATGGTTACAGTTATCTGACAGTGAGAGCTTTAGGATAGACAGTAATGGTTACAGTTATCTGACAGTGAGAGCTTTAGGATAGACAGTAATGGTTACAGTTATCTGACAGTGAGAGCTTTAGGATAGACAGTAATGGTTACAGTTATCTGACAGTGAGAGCTTTAGGATAGACAGTAATGGTTACAGTTATCTGACAGTGAGAGCTTTAGGATAGACAGTAATGGTTACAGTTATCTGACAGTGAGAGCTTTAGGATAGACAGTAATGGTTACAGTTATCTGACAGTGAGAGCTTTAGGATAGACAGTAATGGTTACAGTTATCTGACAGTGAGAGCTTTAGGATAGACAGTAATGGTTACAGTTATCTGACAGTGAGAGCTTTAGGATAGACAGTAATGGTTACAGTTATCTGACAGTGAGAGCTTTAGGATAGACAGTAATGGTTACAGTTATCTGACAGTGAGAGCTTTAGGATAGACAGTAATGGTTACAGTTATCTGACAGTGAGAGCTTTAGGATAGACAGTAATGGTTACAGTTATCTGACAGTGAGAGCTTTAGGATAGACAGTAATGGTTACAGTTATCTGACAGTGAGAGCTTTAGGATAGACAGTAATGGTTACAGTTATCTGACAGTGAGAGCTTTAGGATAGACAGTAATGGTTACAGTTATCTGACAGTGAGAGCTTTAGGATAGACAGTAATGGTTACAGTTATCTGACAGTGAGAGCTTTAGGATAGACAGTAATGGTTACAGTTATCTGACAGTGAGAGCTTTAGGATAGACAGTAATGGTTACAGTTATCTGACAGTGAGAGCTTTAGGATAGACAGTAATGGTTACAGTTATCTGACAGTGAGAGCTTTAGGATAGACAGTAATGGTTACAGTTATCTGACAGTGAGAGCTTTAGGATAGACAGTAATGGTTACAGTTATCTGACAGTGAGAGCTTTAGGATAGACAGTAATGGTTACAGTTATCTGACAGTGAGAGCTTTAGGATAGACAGTAATGGTTACAGTTATCTGACAGTGAGAGCTTTAGGATAGACAGTAATGGTTACAGTTATCTGACAGTGAGAGCTTTAGGATAGACAGTAATGGTTACAGTTATCTGACAGTGAGAGCTTTAGGATAGACAGTAATGGTTACAGTTATCTGACAGTGAGAGCTTTAGGATAGACAGTAATGGTTACAGTTATCTGACAGTGAGAGCTTTAGGATAGACAGTAATGGTTACAGTTATCTGACAGTGAGAGCTTTAGGATAGACAGTAATGGTTACAGTTATCTGACAGTGAGAGCTTTAGGATAGACAGTAATGGTTACAGTTATCTGACAGTGAGAGCTTTAGGATAGACAGTAATGGTTACAGTTATCTGACAGTGAGAGCTTTAGGATAGACAGTAATGGTTACAGTTATCTGACAGTGAGAGCTTTAGGATAGACAGTAATGGTTACAGTTATCTGACAGTGAGAGCTTTAGGATAGACAGTAATGTTTACAGTTATCTGACAGTGAGAGCTTTAGGATAGACAGTAATGGTTACAGTTATCTGACAGTGAGAGCTTTAGGATAGACAGTAATGTCTAACAGTGAGAGATATATAGGTTTGACAGCAACTGGAATAAATCCTTTGAGTTGAACATTAATTCTGAGATTCATAGCTTCAGTTTGGACAGTAAGTTAGAACTTTAGGCTAAACACTAATCTGACAGTGTTTTATGACTCACTAATTAGTGATTTAATATTACTCTAAAACTGTATTTGCGTCTGTTCAGGACAAAATGCAATATTTTAATGATGGAGAATCAGTCTGAAGCAGGGAACAAGATGGGTTGATACCATGTTTGAAGGGGAGTGTATATAATAAGCGTTGAATTAGAAGTAGTATTGTAATTTACAATTATTTTCTACCTTTTATCACTTGAGATATGATTTTGAATCCAGCGCAATTTCCAGGACACTTTGAAAACAATTATGTATATTTACAGTAAATTTGAAAAACATTCCACCGACTGTTTCATGATTAAACGACTTTAGTCAATATAAAATATAAGTTCTGGTGTGCAGAAATAGAAGGAAAAGGTTCCTTTGGAGAAGTGCAGAGCTGAATTTCAACCTCTAATTAAAGATAATTCTAAAAGCACTACTTACTCTTGTGGTGGTCGCCTCCTCTAATGCCAATCTGAGTTCCTTCACTTCCTCATGTGCCCTGTTTTTGGCATCCGTCTCCTGCTTAAGTTCCTCTTGCAGATCCTCTGTTTCACGTTGTAATTTCCCAAGTTCATTTTCACAAGCCTCTTTCAACATCTGATATTTATCCTCTGTTTGATCGTGTAGTTTGGGGTGTAAATCCTGCTGCCCCTGTATGTTTATCAAGTTTAACTTTAATGTCTGTATGGCACTTTCTGTTTTACAAACCCTTGATACCAAGGTTTCATAGCTGTCATGCAAGATATCAACATCTGCGATTCTTGCTTTGTACGGAGCAATGGGCTCTTTCATCTTTATATCCTGACTGTCTGTGTCCCGTTCAGCAGGATGGACATTCTGACCAAAACCCATGCCGGACAAATGATCAATCAACTCCCTCGTCTCCAACTCAGCAGCAGAAAGTCTGTCTTCTAAAACGTCAATAGTCTGATGAGATGACACTCCGGACGGACAAGCTGATGGTGGAATCACTGACCGTGACATCATTCACAGTTTTGATGTCAGCGATAACAGGCAAAGGGTTTCAACACAGTTCCATATATATAAGTAGCATTTAAAGGAATTTTTAACCATGGCGCGTGCCTTCAGGATTTCGCAGCCATAATCAAGATTTTTCTGCAAGATAAAAATATCAAAACAATGTTAAAATGTACCAATGAACTTTTGTCAATCTGAACAAAACTATAATACAAAATATATAAGCACTGTCAACATACAATAGTGTAAATTGAAGCGTACCAGTATGCTCTTCAATTCAATAAATCCTTCCTATTACATCTCCCTCATTGACTTCCTTGGAATATCATTAGACCTACAGGCTGCTCGAATAAGATAAAAATCTTTGTAGTGTACTGTATGATGTTCGTTCTGCTCTACGATGGGGAACCCACACGAAATACTGGAATTAAATACCCTAGGCCGATACAGTTAAGACTTGCCAAAGAGTTCAGACAAACAAGTTAGCGGATAGTGTTCATTGTTTAAATGCATTGTTTACAAAGCAAATATCTTCAAGTGGCTACAATAAACGCCCATTGACCCATGGTAGATCCTACTCCCTTAAAGGTAAGGCCTTCTATGCAGTGTGGTGGGCCTTATCAAAAGTGTTCCTTGGGTGTACAACTCCCGAGCACCACTTGTATTTATAAACAGGGGTCGGATTGCATGGCTCAGATTGGACGATACATCTACAGTTAACAGAGTGTTACTTGAACAACAGATTCAATCAAATTGTCTGTTATGTGTCATGTTTAGACACGAATATTTACAAACGTACAGGTGAAACACATTACCGTATCATCACGGGCTGAGGATTAAAGCCAACACTTAAAATGACAGCTATCTGTCAAGAATAAGTTGCACAGCTTCAATTTAAGCGCTTGAAATTACAAAACATAAATCTTGATAAAATGAAAGCGTGACATTTTCTGTCAATTGACATAATATGCATTTTGAATACAGAATGTGCAGAATTATAAAAAAAATGCACTTGTCTTAATATATTAAGCGACCCAGTCTGAAGATAAAACATGTGACGATTAATTCATGGTTATTGCCAAAATGTGAATACCTTAATTTCATCAGGAATCCCTAATGACTGCTTTCTGGAGTAGGCCTACTCACGTTCTGCTCTTCTTCGCCATATTGTAAACAATGTGATTTGATTGGTTGCCGCCGAGTCTCATTCCAACGTTTGTTTTGACAGACACCTTCGAATCAAACACTTGAGTGATTATTTAATTACCTCCCCTTGACCGTGGATTCATGAATTTCATGAACTGCTTAAAGAGTAAACTAGGTGCTTCTAGTCCTTTTTGGCTAGTTTTCTGCTCCATAGTCTCCGTTTGGAATATACAGTTACGTTGTTTCTCGATGGGTTATATTTAAATAAACTACTTAATAATCTTATTCTCATTAATCGTTTTCAATATTTTCCGGCCTTTGTTTTTCGTCCCATTCAAAATAACACAACATTCTGCTGGTCTAACGTGATCTATTTCTTATAGTTTTAATTGACTAAATCATTTTTGATGCAAATTTTAAAATATTATTAATGGGAATGACGTCAAACGCATTTTTTATGCGGAGATTGGAAAATTATATCGCAATAACAATTAAAGGCAAAGGTGGGTTCAACATTCGGACCCCACTTCGATTTCTTTTATTTTGTTATATAGCGTACGTTAGGACACATAAAAATGAACAATAACGGTATATATGATAATTCATTATAATTACTACTGATAACCGTAGTGGACCTCCTTGCCTAACACCAGGTTGAGTGACAAAATAACAGATAAATTCGACAGCTAGGCGAATACATTTTGAAAATGAATTATGACAGCGTTTATTGACGGTATACAATTACTGTTATTTTGATACTAAATATGTCATATTGGTAAATATGAAGTATGCGCAATGATATTTTTAATTAGAAAAACATGCAAAATGTTATCACAATTTAAAATATATCCAGCATTGTCAACTTGCCTATGTACGTATAGTTACAATAGTAGTCTATATCTTATACTTCTTTAAAACTTTCCATATATATATTCTGTCTACAGAATCATTTTTCTGTAATATCAAAATCGGTAAAATGGTATTTTAGCATGCAAAACATGGCCAATGCACAATTTCACATAATCATGAAGATTTTCTTATCATTGTTTATTATGGTATATATATATGGATACTTTTTCTGTTTTTGTAACTTCATTATATTATGCATGTTTTTAAGTTATGTGCAGCAGTGATAACACATAAATATGTATTTTGCAAAAGTTATCTTTCCTCTGGAGAAGTTCTTAAGGTTGAGATTGTGTTATAGACAAAGATATGCATAGATATATATAAAGCTAGGTGGCATAGGACTAGTAGTTAGCGCCTGATAAGGCAGCTCATGCGAATTCCTCAAAAGAATTATTGATAAATGTATATATGCTAAAATGTATTGATTGTAAGAATTGTATATCTATGTACTGTAAAGCGCTTTAGAGTGGCTTAGGTTAGCTAGATAGGGCGCTATATCAAATGTCGTATATTAATTATTAATAAAAAAAAATCTTAATAGAACTAACATACACTTGATTATTATTCTATTTTGTCTTTTGCCAATTCATAAAACAAAAGATGAAGGTTTGATACATTATATTATAGCTTTAACTCTGAACAAGTAAAGCAAGGAAAGATATCCTTGTCTGACTCCCCATACAAAAACATACATTATAGCACATTTGATTCTTGTGACTATGAACATTATTAACATACTTGCCAAAAACCAAGACCCAATGACCTTTTGTTATGAAGAAAACAAAATTTAAAAGAAAAGAGGAAAGAAAGCTTTGTTTATCCTTTTTTTTTTAAGTCAATGTGTTATATGACAAATTAACCTGTTTTCAATTCTTTTGGAATTCCCGATATTGAAAGATAACATTGGTAGCCAACTTTTAAGCAAGTATGAAAAATAGACTCGTTTTAGAACTATGTGAATTACCGTGTCCAAGATGGGAATTCTCTCATTAATAATGAAATTTCACATACTTTTCTGCTTTAATCTTCAATAAAAAGAACAATTCTTTTTTGAAAAAGTGTAACATTGGGTATCAAAATAACAGTTGGAATATGTTGCACACGATGATAATATAATTTTATAGTAATTGTGTCATTAAAATGTTCTAGGAGGAATTGTATTACCAAACCTAGGTCCCATTCGTCATAAAATAAATTCCGAAACTAACTGTTCCTGATTTAAGCTTCCTATACCAATACCATTTTGTAATTATCTTGTTTGTTAAGTCTCCATAGGCGTTGACCCTACCATTAATATTGCCGATGATACCAATTCAGGATTCGGCGCCGATGTGGACATCTTTTCATGAGGACATGCATAAACTATTAGCTCTAGCATTGAGTGATAAAATGCTATTTAAATTATACTTTGAGATGTATTCTAGAGTAAGTGTACACGTTTTGGGGGTTTTGATTAATTTTCGGTAAAAATGCCCATTATCATCATTTGAGGCGGCATTTTTACCGAAAATTGATCGAAACCCTCAAAACGTGTAAAATTACTCCTTAGTTTAGGTACAAATATAGATGTAGCAAATTCTCAGATTCCTGTGGTGATTAAGTGAGGTGACAAATGAAACGAGGGACATTATTATACCCATTTCGCGTCAGTGATCCGAACTGTTCCAAGCTGTTGGTACTGATATTACTCGGTAAGTATTTAGCTGGAATAGGGGATGTGAAAGTGACATAAGTCTCTGTTGAATGTCACAAGCCGGAAGATTAAAAACTGTACGAAATATAAAACCATCCTTAAATGCAGTTTCAGCATCGTTACCTGAACTTTACTGACTTCAGTTATAATAGTTACGACAAAAAAAAAAAGTGCCCCATGTCGTTAGCGACAAAGAGAAGAACAATTGCATACAGAATTGGATTTGATGGAAAAGCAGCTGGTCTAGAACAGAACCCTGTGGTGTACCATATCACGTGACCATACCAAGATTTTAGCAGAGAGAAAAAAAAGCTTCAATAAAAATGAAAACGGATTGACATCGATTGCAAGATAATCAACATCTATATTTATGTACGTAAGGTTTCCCACGTTTCCTTTTCCCATTTCATTGAAAAAATGAAGACAATATTAAATATGAGTACCGCGGGGCGGAAAAATATACGCCCGTCGAATGCCTTATAGTGTTACACTGTATATACCTTTTACATTGAAATAAGATCTGCATCATTCTAAGAGTGGTTAGCTGACATGCTATAAAAGATGTAGGAGGATATCTCCAGACAAAAAATAAAATACTGAAATGAACAAAGGGCAATAACTTTTGCATATCATGATTATAATGTATACCAAGTTTCAAAGAGATCGGTAGAAAAATGTAGGAGGAAATTGCCGCAACAAACAAAAGTTTACGCCGGACGGACGGACGACGCCATACCATAATACTCCCATAATAACGTCCTATTAACAGATAAGGTCACTAATTATAAGGACGTGTGGATTATAAGAACTAGCCGGTATAACTTGTCATCAGAGCTAAATACTGGATAACAATTTTCTGCTGTACAACATCAGCTTTCCTGGACATTGATGTCAAATAAATTAAAGAAATATTTTCCTGTGTATTTGTCAGTAAATGGAAACGTTGGTAAAATTGATATAATACTTTTACTTTTCATTTGTACACTTGAAAGTAGCTGGCTTATATTTATCACAGAAAAAGACCAGCATTAAGCCAATCCGAAAAGGTCACTTATATAGTATGTGCATACACGTAGTCGTGGTTTTCTACATGGTTTGCGTTAATCTACGATATAATAACTGTAAAATCACAATTATGACACGGATTTCAAGGGTGGGATTGATGTTTGATTATCCTAGATTATTATAGTCACCCTCAATTCCAGGATTTGTGTGTCACATATATGTGTACAGTGCGTGTTCGAGACAACCCTTACAAAGCACTATTGTAACTGGCTATCTTCTATTCAAGGTCATGGTGTTTCGTTTTGTTTTGGGGGTTTCTTGGTTCCTGATGTTGTATACACCTTTGTAAATATTTCTCTTTCACTTACATTGACTGTTTTTTTTTGAAAATGCATGCTTTAGTGTCTACAGCACAATTGCATGTATTTTCCCCCCAAAATATGCGAAAGTATTTTGTTGCCTTAAAAGGTGTCAATAATGTTAAAACATTTGACCTTGTTCAGAACCGTAACGCCAGATGTTGACGCACAATAGTGTAACATACTTTTGACGTCATTTCGTTTCAGATTTGACGTTTGTGACACACGGTTGGCTTTGTAAAACATGTGTTTTCAGAGCTATCGGAATGGATATAGACATGTGTAAAGCTCACATATTTGACATTCATATGGTCACGATTTGTATATGACAAGTGAAACCGATTTTAAAAATGATCGAGTTGACCGTGAAGATAACATGCAGTTAAGAAGTGAACGAAAAATGTGATAAAATAACGCTACCCGTATAAGTCCTATCTGCTTCCTTAATGTAAACCATGGTATGTAAGTTATAA